CAGGAAGAAGGAGGCCCCGAGGAAACCTCAGCGACCCAGCGCGGCTGAGGCCGGGGGAGCGGAGCCCAGGAGCCCGGGTGCACCTTCTCCTCGGCACCAGCGTGAGCCACTTCGGCTGGCTTGGCCACCTCTTCTCGGGCGTGCGTGTTTGTGTGTGTGTGCAAATAAGGTTGTAGGAAGGTAGTGTGGCGTGTGGCATGGCTGATTGGACACCTCTGTTCCGCATGGAGCCAAGCGGTGCACAGGTTTTTTTTTTTGTTTTGGTTTGGTTTTGGTTTTTTGGGGGGCGGGGGAGGGATGGGTGGTCAGCTCTGCTTTCCGGTGGTCTTGCCAGCCTCTGCCCTCCTTGGAGCTGCCTCCTGCCTCTCCCCGTCCGAAAACTGCAGCCAGGAGGATTCATTCACCTGCCAGCAGAGACCTCAGCACAAGGCAGGGAGGAAAAATAAATATCTCATAAAAAAGCTGGCGGCAGGAGCACCCGGAGCCGGGATTGGGTCCGGGGCGCCCTGGTGTGAAGCCGAGTGTCCCGGGCGGGCGCGGCCCCGGGCTGTGCCCGCAGGGAGCGCGGGCAGCGCAGCCCTGCCGTGTGTGTCGCGGGTGTCGCGCAAGCAGCGAGGGCTGAACGCGGCACAAACTCCGCCAAAGCGGGTCTGTAGTCTGCAAATGAAGAGGGAGACCATCTAGCCCTCCGCTTATCGTTCCGGGTTGTTCTGAAGTTTGGCGTGGTAAATACGAAATGCATGGCTTTTAATCCTGCCTGTGTTGTCCCAAGTCAGTGGCTGAGAAGGCAGAAGGGTCTCTAGCCGCTACTTTGGGCTTTGTTTGAGAGGGGAACCTGCTTTGTGTGAATTATTCATCATAATTGCCTATTTCCAAGCAGCTCGGCGGGGAGGCTCCGAAATGCAGTCAGGTCTGACTGGTGCCTGGAGAAAAGTGACGCCCGGAGCCGGTGGAAGTTCAGGGACAATTTTAAGTTCCCGATTCTCCTCCCCACCGGGAACACTGGGGCCGGCATGGGGATGAACATAGGGAGAGGCCCGGGGACAAGGGGCATTTTGTTGCCTTAAGCCCTTAAGGAAACGTGCGTTTCTGCTCTGCCTGGTCTCCTTCTGCCACCCCGAAAACAGGAGAGACAAAAATAATATATGCGCCGAAACAAACAGGGGAGAAGTCCTGGTAAAATGGAGGGAAAGTAGTGGCTGTTTTTTATAGTCCAAGTGTATAATCGGATTTTTTTCCCTGTCCTGATAGAAAGCAGATAAATTTAGGAAGGGAGAGCTAAGAGAATAATTACAGGGTGAAGGTAGTTAAATTTTATTTCGAGTCCCAAAGGCAAAACCTGACATTTTATTGCAAACATCTGGAAGGCTTAAGAGACTGGCATGGTGTTTGTTTAAACACTAATAGAGATTTTTATTCTGTAAAACACAAACAAAGCCCATTTAAAAACACTTGAGACTGTAAATATTTTGCGGTGGTTCAATTCTCAAAGCCTGAGAAAACCGGGGGAAGGGGAGGGGGAACGAATCGACAGCATAATAGGGGTATAATTATGAATTAGTTAATATACGCAACAATACCGTTTGTGCAGACCATAAAAATAAATTGCAAGCGTATTTTTTTTTCCCCAGTCACAATAACTGACCCCGCGCAGCACGGGAACATCACCTCGCTCGTTTTTCCAAGCGGCGACTTGTGCTTGCTTTAAACTTGCCTCTTTCTAGAGAGCCAGCCTCGAAATCCTCGATCCGCTAAGAGATAATCGGCGCTGGGTTAAAGCCCAGTAAATCGCTCGCTCACGTTATCAGACAGCCTGGTTTAACGTTGTTTTCAATTACTAACTTTAAAAAAAAAAGAGAAATAAAAATAAATCCACGGGCTGGGTCTGGGGAAACCTTCGGAAAGGTTTTTCTTGCTGTGGAGAAGGGTTTGAAAGTGGCCCAGCCCCTGCAAACAGCACATCTGGACAGCACTCCCGCCCAGCAGCCGGCTCCCCTTATTTCTCTTTTTTCCCCAAATATTTCCATATATAAACAAATATTTTTCAGGCTCGCTCTGCGACAACTGGAAAGCAGAAATGAATGATTTCTTTATAAACCCCGAGGCCTGGCCCTGCGACCCTTGCTCCTGCCACTTTATTCCAGGGAGCAGTTTCCTGGATTTAATGGGAGCTACCCCTGCGAGTAAGAGTCTGGAATAAAGACCAGGCAAAGGGACGCATTCATCTCTGGCGGCCGGGGGTCGGAGTCGGATTTGAATCCAGATTAAGGCCAGGCCTCGGGTAGACTCGAGTTTAAGCAGCTCGCCGCGGGGAGAGGGGACCGTGGCCTCGGTGCTGCTGCGGCTGAGGGGAGCTCCGGCTCCGGGCGCGTTTTGCTCAGTCAGATCTTGGTGCGAAGGCTCATCCGAAATCCCATCCCCCGGCTCGGGGACAGGGGGTTTTCTCCGGGTGAGCTTTCTCAGCGCAGGGGGCAGCGAGCCCTGCGAGGGGGCAGCGCTGGCTCTCTGTGCCCCCCGCCCCCCTCATCCCTCCCCTTTCCCCCGGCGCATCCAGCGGGGCCGCAAGGTCTCCGCAGGCTCTGCGCTCTCTCCGCTCGCAGCGCCTTTGTGTTTACCGCCTTCGCACCGCCCGGCGGGGCACAGGGAGGGCGAGCAGTCCTAAACCTCCCGGGCACCAGGACAGGGCCAGGGAGGAGGGAGAGGAGCACTCGTCGGGGCTCCGGGAATCCCCGCGGCTCCGGGAGCGGCGTCCGGGACCGCGGGGAGCTGCCCTCCCGCCCCTGGCAAAAGGGTCTGCTCCCTGGGGTTTGACAATTAGGGGCCGTATGGGCTCGGGAAGAGCGCTGTGTCTCTTGTCGGTGCTGCAGAGGCTGTGCTCGGCTGCCAGAGCGGACACCTCAGCTCGCAGACCTCGGGTGGCACGGGAGAGAGCCCCAAGGTAAGAGACCCAAAAGGGGTCGGGGCTGCTTTAAACCGTCCACCAGTAAAACTACACTTACTGCTCTGAGAAACGTATTTCTGAGTTCTTACACCAGTTCCCAAAATTCGCTTAAATCTCCCTGCCTTTCCAGCACCGTTTCTTTTCACTAAAACGCTATAAATAATCCACTGTTTTCTTGGGCTCTTTTGCTAAAATCTCCCTCCAGCTTCTTTGAAAGCCTTCCTCGGTGCCTGAATGCCAGACAAGTGTTTCCGAGGCTTTCGGAAAGAGGGAAAAGAATTATTTTGATGGGTTTTGGGGGGGATTTTTTTTTTTCATTTGAGACATTCCTTCGCCTGGGAAAAGACACACAGCTGGGGGACCCGCTGGAAACACGTGTGCCCTCCTCCGAGTCCCCGCTCCGCTGTCGGCTTCCTCCAAGCCTCTGCCTCGGTCGCTCCCTTCTTGTTGCTCCTCCTGCCCGGCACGGCTCCCCGCGGCAGTGCCAGGGTGGGGAATACACGACACCCATCCCGTGTGGCAGCGCCGCTGTGCCCGCGGAGAGCGACCTGCCAAGGAGGTGTTCTGGAGGGGAGGGGAAAGGAGCGACGGGGAGGGGGATCAAGGCTGTAGGGCGGGTGATGGAGACCTACAAAACCTGCTCTTCGGCCTAGACAACAGGGTTTAGAGGGTATTTCAGGAGAAATGGCTCTTTCCCCGTTTTTCGTCTGAAATCCGTTTCCGCGCGTGGGAATCCCTGCGGGCTGTCGTCAGTCGGCGCTTTAGGCCGGGGAGAGCGGGCTGGAGGGCTCGGCCATCCCGCGCTGACGTGGGCACCACGGACTCACTCGGAGCAAAAGAAAGTGTCTTTTCCCCCTGCGCTCCCACACGTGCCCCTTTCACTTGTTTCCAGCCCCGTAGAAAAAAAAAATCGTCTATGAAAAACCTGCCCATAGCAGCTCTGCACCTTCGGGGAGCAGCTGAGAAGCAACGGACAAAAATAATCCCTTCCTGAAAATTCGTGTGCCTCCTTGCCGGCTTTTCCACCGCGGCTCGGTCCAGGCTAATCCCCTCTCGTACTTTATAATTATTTCTATTTTATTTTGAACTTATGTGGAATTAACCCCCCGCGGCTTTCCCCGCTGTATTTTCCGCGTACGGTGTTTCGCTTGACTTCACCTATTTTCCCGGGGTCCCACCAGCTAATGAAAACACACGCTTCCGTCACCTTCTCGAAAGCCCTTGTCGCTTTTCACTGCGAGCCCCCCCGCGCCACGCGTGACCGAGGGGCGTGGGAGCAGCTGCGGACCCGCCTCAGCCGGGCGGATGTCAGGGCAGAGTGAACAAGAGAGCAGAAATAAAATGCTGAATATTATCCAGGCAACCAGCCGGGATATGTACCTAGCGGCTTTGTTTTCGCAGTAGCTGGAGTGATAAAAAGAAGCGGGAAAGGGGGGAAAAAAATATTTTTTTATCTAGATAAAAATCCCTTCCCAAAGAGAAGGCGCTGCCCGTGCCCGGGTGTGTCTGGGTCTCCCTGCCAGCCCACGCCGCCCGCTCAGCCCCGCCGCTCCACGGACACGCATCGTTTTGAAGTGAAATTTCAACCCCCTCGAGACGTTGCTTCTGCTTCTGCCAAACACCGATTCCGCCGGCAAGGGCAAGTAACACATGGCATAAATGAAGTTTTAAAAACACCCCGTCACCCGGCGCCGCGGGGTGGTAAAGCACCTCTCGGGTACTTTGCGTGGGGATTAGCCAGCAGCAGCGTTGGGGAAACCTGGGTGCGGCGGAGAGAAGTGCGGGAGTTGTTACCTCTCTGTGTTTAGAGTTATGGCTTTCCTACTGGCTCCCCGTTCTTCAAACAGTTAATTCTCCCGGCCGGTGTTCCAGGACTCAGATGGCCAAAATTCCTCTCCCTCAAGCCCGAGTCTCCCTCCCCTCCCTATTGGGTCGCAGCTTTTGGGTCTCTCCCGAGCTCTCCCTCCTATTGGCCGGGGACATTTTTTTTTCCTTTTTTTTTTTTTTTTTTTTTTTTCCTGACAGGCGCACGCAGCCTGCCTAACTCTTGGAGGAAAAAAAAAAATCCCAGAAGTTTGGATCAATCAGAGAGAGACAGAAGGAAAGGGGAGAAGAAAAAAAAAAAAAAAAAAAAAAAAAAGAAATCTAGCCTGCAGCCCCTCTGAGCAAGTGCTGGGACCTGGGCTGAGCACACCCTCCTGGCTCTGCCTGCGGAGTATCTGCAGCCTCATGTAGTGCCTTCAGGAGGCTGAGGGCTGGTTCTTCTGGGGGTGCAGCTGGGGAGGGGTGGGGGGGGAGAAAGAGGCAAGAGGCTCTGCCTCTGGTCCCCGAGCTGTGCGCTCCCAGGCACCGGTCTCTCCTCTGCCCAAGGGTCTGGGCTGGGGGATAAGATGAGTGAGAGGCGAAGATCGGCGGTGGCCCTCAGCTCCCGAGCACACGCTTTCTCGGTAGAAGCCTTGATCGGGACAAATAAAAAGAGGAAACTGCGAGACTGGGAGGACAAGGGGCTGGATTTGTCCATGGAAAGCCTCAGCCCCAATGGCCAGCTGGGGGACAATGAAGACCCGACTCAGTGCCTGGACCTCAACCCTGGTTAGTGCGACTCCTTTCTCTTCGGGACCCCCCCTCCTGCCCCGCTCCCTCCCAGCTTCTTGCCCTGAGTCCTGTCGGGATCTGCCCGCCGGGCAGCGCGTCCCGGAAAACATTCGAGACTGGGAGTACAGGAAAAAAAAGAAGCGGGAATTTTGCGGAGATTTCTTTTTTTTGCTGTTGTTGTTTTTGTGGGTTTTTTTGGTTTTTTTTTTTTTGGTTGTTGTTTGGTTGGTTGGGTTTTTTTCCTTTCAGTTTACGGGAACTTTCTTTTACTCGTTGTGTTTCTTTCCCCCCCACATAGCTCCATGATCTCCCGCGAGGGACGGCGTGTCCCCTTCTGCTTCCCTTTTAACCCTCTCTCCTTCCACTCCCTCCGTGCCTGCCCATGGCGATAGTCCATCCCGGGTGTCTCGGGACACGCGTTTCATTTTGCCCCAGCTTCCCGATCCCCGATGGTGGAGCTGCCGGGTGGGTCCGGGGCAAAGGAGTGGGGTGCGGGATGCACCCCTCTCCTCTTTCCCGAGTCACCGCCCGCCCCCCGCGGAAACAGCGGCGCCCAAGCGGAGGTTTCGGGGTAGCAGGAGGATGTGGGCATCCAGGATCAGCGCTGCTCCGGGGGCGAGGGTCGCCGGCTCTTCGGAGCAGTGGGGACCCGCTGTGTGCTCCCGCAGCTCGGGATCCTTGTCGGGACTGACCCGCTGGGTTCCGGCCGGAGCGGCCTCGCCCCGCTCCCGGCACGGAGCGCGCAGGGCGCGGCGGAAGCGCGGGGGGACGCGGAGGGGACCGGCCCTCTCCGCTGGGAAAACGCTCCCGGCAGGGAAAAGCACCTCAGCGGGCAAGGGGCACTGCGAGGAGTCCAGCCCCGCTGCCGAGCCTGGCGCTTCCCGGGAGCGCAGAGCAGCGCCGGGCCCGCGGCCCCAGGGCCGGCGGGACGGGGCTGGGGCAGAGGGAGCGCAGCGCTTCCCTCCTGGCGTCCGTACTTTCGGCTTTAAACTCCCCTTTGCTTATTGCTAGTTAAAAGGCACCCGGTAGCTCTCGTTTGGCTCAAGCCAGACCCTCGTTCTCCTCCTGTCCCCCCGGCCGCTCCTCTCCGGCCTAAAAGGACGGCTCCGCAAACGCAGCCGCGGACCCGCGACCATCCCGAGGGGGAAATCGCGCTGGGCCTCGCTCCCCGAGCTCTCCCCGCGCCCTTCTGGCCGTCCCCAAGCCCCGCTCCCCAGGGCCTCAACAAGGGACGGAGGGAGCGGCCCCGCTCTCACAGTTATACTGGGGGAGAAAGCGAATTTTAGGTGATTTCTCTTTGCTTTTAGTGCTCGGACGGGGCAAAAAGGTCGAAAGATTTCTTTGCGCAGCCCTAAGAAAAAGGGCAGAAATATCCTCCGCTTCTGCCAAGTCCGTTCCGCTGCACTTGGAACACCTTTTAAATTTCGTTTTTATTTTTTTGTGCGTGACGTTCCCTGAGCTATCAATTAGCATAAGCTGCCCAAAACTGAGAGTAAAAAACCCCAAACCAACAAAACAAAAAACAAAAGGAGGCGGAAAAAAAGATAAAGAATTTTAGATCGAAGTATCAAAAATATTTGCTGTAAAAAGTAATATTTAAAGTGTTTTTGAAGGGAGCTAAAGACCATGAAGACCTCGCCCCTCTACGCCCTCAAGCAACCGCATTTCAATTTGCTTTTAACAGCAGCAGCCTTTCCCGGTGCGGATCTTAAGGAAAAGTAGGTAAAATTGCTGCCAGGGTCGTCTCTCTCAGCGGAGGGACGGGCATAAAGGAGAGGGGACAGCAGCGATCAACCAGTCAAAAAATAGCCTACAGCTTCAGAGGCTTCCAAGTTCAAAAGAATAAATAAGCGATCTTAGACAAAAAAATCCGCTTTCTAATAACAGAGTGTATCTGTGTATTAGTCGTATTTTTTCCTCTTTTTTCTTTTTTTATAAACAGTTTTCTTTTTCTTTTTTTTTTTAAGAACCGTTTTTTCATACATTTTTAGCCGCAATGGGTTATGTTCTTATACAGTCTAAAAGTTTAATTTGCCTATTTCTCCATTAATTCGAATTGGAAAATTGGAAAACTCTCCATGCGCCAGATTGGAGAGCGGGAGAGAATGGCTGCTCGTTCCTGAAACCTCAGAAAGCAAACGTGATGTTTTTCATAAAGAAAAGGAAATCAAGAACAGTTTGAGAAATCATTTTTAGGAGGTTGATAGACTTTAAATAAAGTCCGCGACTGTAATTTGCACAGTCACTTCATTAAACCTAATTCCACCGCGGTGTACTTTTGCTGCTGGGTGAAAATTGATTAGCGGCTCTATAATGACCACCAAATTCCATCTTTACAAGACCCAATTAAGAACAAACTTTACACCTAACGTATTTTAAACTTGCCAAATCTCCAGAGATATAGCAAAAAAAAAAAAAAATTAGAAAAGGGAATTTTTATAGCGTCCCAAAGGTTCAGCGCTCAAAGCCGCTGCCCCCGAGTAGCGGCGGGCTGTTCCTCCTGCTGCTGCTGCGGGCGTGCTTGCGGAGAGGCCGCAAGTCGCAGAGTACGCGCTGGGAAATTATGTCTTGATTTTCGTGGGATGACCTAAATCGGTCTAGCCCCATTTATCGATCTTTTCGCCTAAACTGCCTCAATTTCAGCGCGGGAGGGTCTGAAAACTACTCAGTGCGGGGAGCTAAACGCGGCCACAAATAGAGTAAGGCTTCGCTCTCCTTTTCCCAGACCTTTTGCGTGCAAAAGGAGGGTATGAGGATTTCTCTGCCAAGAGCGGGACTCGTCCTCGGGCAGGGGTGAGGGGAGGGGGCGGCGGAGCGGCCCCGCTTCAGCCCCGCGTGGGTGCGGAGCTGTGCGGGACGAGTACAATCCGCAGCCTCCGGGAGTGCCCGGGAGGCAGCGCTGCTTGTTTCCCCGTTTTGGCGGAATCCCTGACCCCTTCCGTGCCATCTTGCAGCCGTGCCCAAACTCTGCGGGGACGATATTGGCGAGACCGAGTCTCCCCGAGAGACCTGCCCTCCCTCCGGGGCCGCATCTTCCCGGGAGAAGCGAGCTGGCAGGCTGGGAGGTGCCGGGTCGGGCTGTGGCGTGGGCAAAGGTGAGAAAAGCAAGCGGATAAATCCCCCAGGTTTGTAAGGAACATCTCCCGAGCATCCGAGTTATTTATGTCTCAGCCACGAATTTTGTCGCCGGACTTAATGTGCTTTTTTTACGAGACTCATTTAAAAGAGGGATAAACCTGGATTTTAACCATGTGCGGGTTCAACCACGAAGTTGTGAAAAGGAATTCGGGATTACGGCGGCTCTCACCTTCTCTTTCCCACCCCGTGCGCTCGGGAGCACCGAGCGTGGGGCCGCGGCCGGGCCGGGGGAGGCAGAGCTCGCCCCGGGGCTCCGGGAAGCCTCTCCCGCTGCTCCGCCGCCGCCCACGGCCCCGCATCCTCCCCCGGCACTCCGCTCTCGCCGCCGACAGGCCAGAGGAGGAGGAGGAGGAGGAGGGTGGCGGGACGCCCCTCCGTCCCCTTGGCAGGTTCGGTTTCAGAGGGCAGCAAAACAATGGGCTCGGATGTCTGCTGGGTATTTATAGATTTAACCTGAGCAGCGGAAAGGTCGCGGGGGCCCCAGGCGTTGCGTCCCCTGATGAATATATTGTTTACTGTCCTTCGCGGCGGTGGCACTCCTCGGCCCGTCCCTTCGCCACCCCAAGGGCGCAGGGACAGACCGAGGCAGAGCCGAGCGCGCTCCTTTCCGTGTCGAAAAGTTTAAGACTTTTACACATTTTTTTTTTTTTTGGAGAGTGTGGGTGGTAACGTGTTTCCGTGGACGCGTTTGCTTCCACAGAAATACGGCTGCTCCTTCAGGCGGTCAGGGTCTCCTCACGGCGAGACGCGCACAGGCGCTTCAGGGGCAGAACAAAACGCTGCGGCGGCTAAACAGACAGACTTTCCCGGCTTTGGGACCGTCCTTTTCCCCTCGAAGAAACACACAAGGCGTTTTGTAAACAAATTTTTACTGCCAGTGCAGTCTTTGTATCACACCTCCATCCCATCGATATTTTCGGTTGCGTATATTAAAAGTGCACCTACTGGTTAAAAACCCCAAAATCACCAGAAAACAAACAAACAAACCCCAAACAACAAATCAAAGAAAAGAAAACAGGGCATTTTTGAGAGTTTAATTATTCGTTCCCTGTGTTCATCTAAATCTACACTGGCGAACTTCTGCGAGCCTCTGCACAGACAGAAAAAAAAAGGCACACATTTTAAGACTCACAATATGTTTATTACACATGCTTATCCGTAAGATTAAGATCCGGGAGTTTGACAAAGCCTTCAGTGGCTGACAAGAGTAAAATCTTCAGCTCTTTTGGCGCGGCGTGTTGCTCTCCTGTGTCTCCCGGGAGGTTGCATCCATGTCCATGGATGGAGGAGGCTACCCCTGCTCCTCCTTGCCCATGGGCAAGTCCCCTCCGCCGGCGGGGATGCGGGAGCCACGCAGCCCGCTCACCCTCCGGAGAGGTAAAGAGATTTTAAGAGCAGGAGAAAATGCGATTGACCCTTCTACTTCCTTTTTTTTTTCATTTTATTTTTTAATACCCTTGCTTCTGAATGCTTATATTGATGAAGTCCGCTCTTCGAGCAGTGGCTGTTAGAGCCGTGAAGAGGGAGTGACTTAATTCGGTTTCTCACTTCAGCTTTTGTTCGAGTGCTCGGTGGATGGGGCTATGATTTCAAGAGCTGGCAGAGCAATTTTTCTCGTCTCTTTCCCTAGGTAGAGCACAGTGGTGTACATTGCCCTTTGCGTCTTTCCTGAGGCTCGTAGACGAGCAGTGCTCTGTGACAACGAGATGTAAGACAAGAGAGTGTCAGCTTTGCCTTGCCTTGGGACTGGGCGTTATTGATGAGAAGTCTTTCTAACAAATTTATGTGTGACTGGGATTGTATGAATTCATTCCACCTGTTGGATCATCACTTTGCCTCTTTGAGACGGGATGCGGAGC